TCTATGGACTTTTTCTTTATCCACTTTCTTATGGACTGTTTAGTGCGTGTTCTCGAAACGCCACAGAAAGGCTCAGGTCCCTTAAGACGATCGGCCGCATCCTGTCGGGCTAGCTCATCCGCCTTTTCATTTCCTTTCTGCCCTTCATGTCCTGGTACCCAGAGCGATGTTACCTCGTTTCTTTGAAAGTGTCCACTTAAACCCATAATAGTTTAGATGATATTTGCGATGAACTTTAATGCCTTTACGACTGCCTGGCTCTCTGAGCAGATGACGATTTGCAGTCTCATTCTTAGTAGCCATTTTGCGCATGCTTGTATGGCCGTTACTTCAGCCTGATATCTTACGATTTGTTTTGATCCAAAATTACGTAGTCAGAAGTCGTGTGACGCAATTGTATACTAGAAGTTGATCAAGCTTAAGCTGCCAGTTTTGATAGTTGTTGACAATTAGCATTATTTTCATACTTTTTTCTGGAATAAAAAATATTACATGAAAAACTTCATATATCCTATAACCTTTGTATACAACTTTTTCTTCTAGAAGCTAATATACAAAAAACTTAGAGGGGGGTCATGTAGCATCAAAAAAGTATCTCATTTTTTTGCACTAGATCAATGCGTCCTATTAGCCAGATCCAATCTTGTATATCTATATCTTTAATTATGGACAAACACACGACGTCACAAAATCTATGGCTTCGAAATGTGATTTCCGAAGGCGAGATTCGAACTCGCGGCCCGGCCGGCCGGCTGATCAGTAGCACGACACTCTGACCCACGCGACCAGCCGAGGTCCCATATCTCATTTTTGAAATGTTTTGCGATTACGATACTTCGTCAGTAGCGTGGGAAGTAAAATATTCCGAGATAGCGCCCGACCGCCATCTTGAACTTTTAACTGCCACAAAAATATAGCTTCTCTATTCATTGTTTGTCAGAGCGGTCCGTAGGACCTTTGCTCTTGGTTAAAGTCTTGTAAGTCTGTCAGGTCTGGTTGCCCTGATACCAAACAAAATCGGAGAGCAAGAAGGGAAGAAGAAAGGAAGGAAGGAAGGAAGGAAGGAAGGAAGGAGGGAGAACAAAGAAAAAAGAAGTGCATCAATTTGAGGGGTGCCTTGATCGCTGGTCTAATAGCCATCTTGTATAGCCATACTTTGTTGATCAAACTTAATTTTGATTTCTACGTAGCATAGGGTAGAGTTGCCGAAACTAGATTTGGAATTCAGTTTTTAACGTTTCAGTGTGCTTCTGCCAGATCATCCCCTTGTCAAGAGTGACACCGAGATGCTTAGCAGAGCTTTCCCGTGGTACCCGAGCTCCATTCACTGAAACCTCAGACGAGGTGCCGCTACGTTTTTAATACAATAGATTGCTTGCGTTTTCGAATGATTAGTTTTGATCTGCCACCGATTCGCCCACTCCAATACCTCGTCGACTGCACTTTGCAGCCTGTCGTGAGTTAGATCCCCAGAACACGACTGGGCCACCAGGGCAGTGTCATCAGCATAGAGATAGATTTCACAGATGCTGGAGCAAGGGACGTCATGAATAAAAAGTGAAAAAGGATTGGTCGAAGAACCCAACCCTGAGGGACACCGGCTTTGATGGGCCGTGTTATCGATAGAACGTTATTAATTTTGATCCGAAATTTCCTACACTCGAGGAGGGATTTCAAAAGCTTCAGGAGCCAGAAGGGGAAGCCCTTATGGATCAATTTGTAGAGAAGGCCCTTGTGCCACACCTCGGCAAATGCCTTTGAGACATCCAGAAGCAAGATGTCAGTACTTTCGTTACGGGTGAACAACCCCCTGGTTACTCGTTCAACAAGCCTAACGGCCTATGCTCAGACCGAAAGCCAAATTGCACGTCACATTGTGGTGTGACGAGAAATTTTCAAGGTGTCCTAGAATCAAGCCGCTGGGAAGTGCTGGGTCCTTAGCATGACCTTGATTATTGCCACGAGATAAGTTAAGGAATTCCGCGAAAGCAACTTATTAGTGATACGATCCTCTCCAGGTGCATTTCGCACCTTCAGGTCTTTAATATGACCTTAAAGCTCTGCTGATGTGCAATGCGAAGTCTCAGGAGATTCTGCTGATGTGCCATGCAGCTCTTCAGTTGAGGAATCTTCTGAAGATTCCCCTGAGGAAAATCACTGAGGGAGGCACTACTGATACTGACGCCGTTGGCCCAAAATATCTCCTGACGGATCTTAAATGTGTTGCTCCTCGTCGAGGTCATTATCAAGGTCATAGTTAGCAGAGAACTGACCTTCCATTGCATCAGCGAAAACCTCGACCTATTCCTCTGTCCCCGACAGAAAGTCGCTCCATTGCTTATTACGGAATTCATGAAGACCATTTCTCACTTCATGAACAAGATTCGTTGCTCTGCGAATGTCATCTGAGTGACAAAAATATAGTACCTATCAATCAATTTCATCACCCCGCATGTCGGCTTGTTAACTTGACTATAAATGAGGGGTGGGGGTGTCTTTTCGAAAGCACTGTATGATTTACATGTGCTTAACAGGAATCCATTTTCTCCATTCCCCGACTGGCAATTATCTGTTAGGTTCAAAGGGCGCGACCCCTTGTAGTGCACTCTATCATTGCACTAAAAAATGCAATATATTATTAAGCACAGACCGCGCATGGTAATTCTTTGCGTACACAAACACTGCTGGAGGCCGATATCGATGTGCAAAGCAGCCCATGGATTAAAAATTCAACAGTCATAACCTACCCTAACTGCTTTCGCGAAGGGGTGCTGGGAAAGCACATATGGAAAAGTGCGTGTTTAACGCTAGTTATCAATGCCCATATTTCTTGGTCGTATAAATAAAACATTGTACCAAGTAAGATGACTATACTTCCTATGCAATGCTTTTATAAGTTCGGAAAGGATTATGTTCGGCACAAGTTAGCCTATTTGAGAAGAAAGTTAGCTATGAACATGTATAACGAAAAATTGCATGATTCCCTAAACCATTGATTCCCAAAGGGGTCTATGACAACCTGCAAGGGGTCTACGTCAGCGAAAAAAAATTTGGGGGTCCATGAAATGAATATGGGGATCCACGATAGTGGATCTCAACACATACACTGATAGTACCTATTTACTTACATCATACTATCTTATAATAGCAAAACATATACATTATTCATAAAAGTACCTATGAAGTAAACAAATTATTCTATATGTTTATAAAATTGTGTAAGTTGTAGGATGTTGGTATTCGCTTTGTGGTCGCAATACATTTTGAACTTGTAAAAACCTGAGAGTCGCAGTCTCAGAGCTTCGCTACCTTGCAGTGACTTGTTCTATAAATACGAATGTGGGACAAATACGTTTATTCGTTTCCTGAATCTTGAAAAGGAAAGTGCTAAGAAAATATTTTAAAAAATATAAACAGATAGTATATCACACAAATTATAGTGAGTCAGTGTTATTTTGTTTGAGAGTGCTGGAGAAAAGTAAGTACATTATTTTTTATTAAATATTAGTTTTGTACTCGTAGTTAGCAAAGATGGATAAATTACGCCAATCATGACTTTAGTTATTAGTAGTTAAATATTCAATCATGCAAAATTACACGAGTACTCCTCAATAGTTTCTTTTTGAAAGTTTTAGCAATCGGTAATATAATTACAGTGCAATCTCCGTAATTCGAGCTAATTGTTGCAAGATGTTCGAATTATGGAATGTTTTCGGAAAAATCAAAAAATATTTTTAATATACAGCTGCTAGATTTTCTGTCTTATTTAAATAATTAAATTTTGCCCACAGATGACTGATCCCATGTCCGAATCTAAAAAGAAATGTAGACAGTACAGTGTTGGCTTTATTCCATCATTGCCGGACAAACACTCGCCTATGTGCCTTTTATGCAACAAATTTTTGGGCAATGACGCTATGAAACCATCTAAACTGCAAGATCATCTGAGAAGATACCACCCTCATAAAACAGAGAAAGATTTGAAATACTTTCAAACACTCAAAGATAAATTTCAGAAGAGACCTACACTGCACAGAATGTTCGCTTCGACATCACAAAGAAATGATGATGGTTTGCGGGCGTCTTACAATATCTCGTTACTTATAGCAAAATCCGAAAAACCGCGTTAAAGAGGTTTTAAAAACTGTTTTACACAAACCTGCATCTGATATCATTAAAAGAATTCCCTTAGGCAACAATACTGTTGAAAGACGTATTGATGAAATGAGTTCTGATATTGAAAGCTTCTTATGTAATTATTTGCAAACGACCCATTTCTCTATACAACTGGACGAGTCAACTTTACCTGATAATGCAGCATTATTATTGGCATATGTTCGTCTTATTATGAATCATGAAATCTACGAAGAACTGCTCTTCGCAAGAACTTTGATAACCGACACTAAAGGTGAATCAATATTTCATGTTTTCATTGAAAAAGCAATTCCTTAATCAAATATAAGCTACAGATGGAGCACCTGCCATGGTTGGACGTTATCGTGGATTTATAAGCTATTTAAAACAAAATGTGTCAGGGGTGTTAGCAATACATTGCGTCATCCATCGACAACATTTAGTTGCTAAAAATTTGAGTGTTAGATTGCATGAATCACTTCATTGAGTCATTGATGCAGTAAACCGAATCCGAAGCAACGCGTTGAATACGCGGTTATTTGCGCAGTTGTGTGAAGAAAATGACGAATACTTTCATCAATTACTCCTTCACACTGAAGTACGCTGGCTGACGAAAGGCTTACGTTTGACAAGATTTTTTGCACTTTTTGAGACTATTTTAGAATTTCTGGATACTAAAGATAAAATTTTAAATTTAATGAAGAGGAAAACAGACATCGCCTATTTAACAGATATGTTTACAAAATTTAATATGGTTAATTTGCAATTACAAGGCGACAGTTTAAATTTGATTAAAACAAAGTCCATCTTATCAGCGTTTCTTGCCAGAGTTAAACTAATGAAGCAAAATATTGGAATTTTCTCAGTTCCCCAATTTGTCACAGACAAGCTGCCAGGAAGACGACGTTTCAACTTACGTTCAACATTTAAATGCCCTCTATTCAGATTTTGAATCTAGGTTTGAGGATATTTTGACTATGGTAATACCACCGTGGATAATTAATCCATATGGTGACATAGAAGAAACGAATGTCATAATACAAGAGGAACTGAACTAAGTACACACGAACAACTTAAGGTTCAGTTTAAAAACGGATATCAGCAATTCTGGCTGCAAAACAACATACCCGTCCTAACGAAAAAAAGAAACAGACTGGACATCATTAGCCGAGGAGATTTAAGATTAACCCTTACAAAATTGACGCTAAATGTCGATAATTTATTATTAAAGCATCAGGTTCTTCCTTCTCACTAAAAATATTGACTTATTGCTTATGTTATTTTATTTATAGTTTATTTTATGTATATTGGTGTCTGACCAATAAATGTCCGCATTGGGAATAAGTGCCCGCATTGATTTTTTTTAAAGAACCCCCCTTTATAGAAAATATTTTTTTTAAATTATTCTGAAAATTCAAGGATAGGTTGACACTAAAATTCGTTAATTTTTGGCCTATTTTTAGATAAACCTATAAGAAGCGAAATTTAATCAAACTAACAGTGAAATTATTGTAGAACATACGTTTATGTTATAATTAATAAACGAACTCGCTTATTGTACTATTTTAAGTAAAAAACTTTTTTTTATTATTTTTCACTTTTTTTTATTTTATCCCTCTTATTTTTTTTCAATGCGGGCACTTATTCCCAATGCGGGCACTTATTGGTCAGACACTTGTTTATTTAATGTTACGTATATTTTACATAACAGATACAAAATTTTATTTTGAGTAGTTTTAATTTAAATTCGATTAATAAATGTACAAATTAACATGTGTTTTTACTTTAAGTTTTTAACACTAAACTTCACTACAGTTAGAAATTTACAGGAAATCAATATCAGGTAGTAGGGGGTCTACCCAACACGGAAAAACATGGCAAGGGGTCTACGACACAAAAAAGTTTGGGGAACTCTAAACTAGAGTAAGTACCTTTTTTATATGTTTATATCAATAGAGTTTTTTTGTAAGTACTTGCGGCTATACGTTCTTTTCACAGACAAGGATACTGCTCAGCGCCGAGCAACTAGCCCCCAAGTCACAATCGTGAGAGGAACAATGTTGGAGCCAAGACCGATCCCTGGGGAACAACCGCGTTGTCATTATGGAATGAAGACGATACCCTGTAAATCAAGAAAAATACCAGCACTGTGCATTTTTCTTGATTTATCCAAGGCATTTGATACTGTATGTCATAGTGAGCCAATAAGCAAATTAGAAGTCAATGGAATAAGATAAGAAGCTAAAGGTTTGTTAACAAGTTATTTGACAGACCGGAAGCAGGTTGTTGGTATGAGTGGTATGACTAGCCGTCCAAAGACTGCAGTTTGTGGAGTTCCACAGGGTGCATACCTTGGGCCGCTGTCATTCACTGTTTATATGAACAGACTCCTTCAAAAAAATAGTCAATTTCATATAATAAGCTTTTCATATGACACCGGTGTAATTTATGCATCAGTTGATTGGCTCCGACTCAATAAATTACCAATAAATTGTCATAAAACAAAATATTTCTGTACCCGAGAAATGAACAATCGTAAATCCAAAAAAGTTTCGAGTAATGGATAACACAAGCGAAGATTTCAACACAGCTTCAACGGACATATTCCTTCTTCACAATTAAAAATATTATCATCAATAAGTTAGTACTTCACAATAGTGTACTTTAGTTGCTATTTTAATTATGAGGCAATATTACTATACCTCAACATTGGGTCAAAATGGTCTTACGACTCTTTACCCCTGAGCTACTGATTTAATATTTACATCTTACACCCAATTTAGGAACATTGCAAGTTGACACATATAAATATCCATGCGTCAGACTGTGTGAAATACCTTGGTGTCATGGTGGACAAGCACTTGAGATGGAATTTACAAACTGCTTACATTTGAAAAAAAAAATGAGAGGCCTAATTCCACGGTTCAGGCTTCTGAAAGATTTCCTGAGCTAATATCACTTAAAGATACTGTACACATCATTGGTCGCAATCGCAGCTGTCTTGTGGAATCAGTGGATGGGGAGTAACCAACAGACATTTAAAAGACCTTGAGGTGTGGCAAACATGGATTTAACAAATAATATATGAGGAAAAAATAACATATCCCACAAATAAGGTAAACGTCCCTATTTTCGGCACTACCCCTTTTATCGGCACAAATTCTACACAATCCCGAAAAATAAGATTTCTATCGCAAGATTGTTGGATAAAACTATTTCACCAATTTCTGCGAACCTTTGTCTACGCCTCTGCAGAACCGAATGACTGTCGGCCAATTTCGGTAATAACCATAGTCAAAAATATAGTGGTCAGTTCGCGCCAAACTCTTGTCTGAAGTGTTTCTTGTTGCAAGTGTTAAGAAACAGGTAAGCCATTATCGTGTTGTAATTGTTGATAGACGTTTCGTGTAAATGTTTGATTAAGTTTTATATGTTTAGGAATTATTATTTTTGTTATTTGCTAGTAAAAAACTGTTTTTCTTTGGGTTTTTTGTGTATTTTATGGGTGCCGATAATGGGTACGTAAACAATAATTGATGATCTAATCTTCGGCAGATATGCCGATAATTCTTTATACGTATTGGACTGGATTTAGGTCAATTTTAGCTTCAGCTCTTAATTTATCATGAAAAATGTTTGGTTATTATATGCAGCATACATCGATGAGATGTCACACCAATTTTCGGCACTCTATATATCTACTAGAATTAGCTTAAATTTGAGGTTTAATAAAAGTGCCGATAATATGAACATAAGGTGTCGATAATTGGAGATTCTTTTTTTCAGATTAAAATTACATCACAATGGACAAGCTTAAACGACTTCAATATTCTACCGAAGATATAAATAAAGCTGTTAACGCTGTTCAGTCAGGAATGCCATTTAAAGCAGCTAGCAAGTTATACAACGTACCCAGATCGACCCTACAGGACAAAGTAAAAGGAAGAACACTTTTAGACAAGAAATGTGGACCAGGGACCATACTAACCAGGGAAGAAGAAAATTTACTGGTGGAATGGTTATTTCGGATTGCAGCATATGGATTTCCAGCAACAAAAACACAGTTGTTAGATAGTGTTCAGCTCTTGCTTAAAGAATTGCATAGGCCTAATAATTTCGCAGATGGCAGGCCTGGACGGAAATGGTACGAATTATTTTTAAAAAGGCACCCAGAACTGGCTTCAAGGATTTCCCAAAACCTCACTTGTGCTAGAAACAGCCTAACAGAAAACCGCATTCGTCAGTGGTTTATAGAAGTAGGGACCTTCTTAGAAAACACAAACAATCTTAACATAACTTTTGATTCCGGTCGTGTATTCAATTGTGATGAAACAGCTTTTTTCCTCACACCCAAAGGAGACAAAGTTTTAGTTAAAAAGGGGGATAGAACAGTTTACTCATTTGTGAGCAATAATGAGAAGGAATGTCTGACGACTTTGGTTACGTGTAGTGCCTCCGGTCAAATTTTACCGCCAATGATCGTTTATAATTACAAAAGAATTCCCAACTCCGTTGTCGAAAAAGTTCCAGGAAACTGGGGTATCGGAAAGTCTGAAAATGGGTGGATGACTGGTGAAACCTTTTTCGAGTACATCGCTAATATATTTCACCCTTGGTTAGTTGTTCAAAAAGTTCAGTTTCCGGTTATATTGTTTTTGGATGGACATACATCCCACCTAACTATGGCCCTCAGTAAATTTTGTAGTAAAAATGATATTATCCTTATAGCTCTTTGCCCAAATGCTACACATATTTTACAACCTCTAGATGTGGCCGTATTTCGACCATTAAAGCTTGAATGGAAAAAGAGCGTGCACCGATGGAGAATGGAGAACCAAGGGCAGAAGATTACCAAAGACTTCTTTGCGCCCATCTTGGAATGCACTTTTCAAAAAATGACAAATATTCTCGATAAAATTAAGAATGGCTTCAGGACCTGCGGACTTATTCCCTTTAATGTTGATAATATAAAATTTTCAAAATATTTTAAAACGGAAATCGCAGCACAAAAACAACAAGAGAACCATGAACAGCCTAAAGAAGCTCAAGCAGTCCTAAGATGTTTAGAGCAATACATCTCAAAAGAGACTCTTAGATTATTTCTGCTTTCCGGTCCACTTTGGGAAGGCCCAGTAGAGCACACTAGCCTGTTTTCACTCTGGAAGAAAATGAAGATCAAAACAGTGAATAGCAACAACAATGCAATAGAGGTTTCTGATCTAGTACAAAGTGAAAATGAAATTCAAGAAGACTTTATTATGGAAGATACATTTACAGACGTAGAAATTCACAACGAAATAGATGCCACAGAAATCAATGAAAATAATAAATTGATAAATGATCAATTAGAAGTAGATATTGAATTTCAGGCAGGCTCAAATGTCAAAGGCGCATTTGCTGAGAAGGCAAACAATAACAATGAAATTGATGTTACAGGAATTATTGACTGTACAAATTTATCCCTTTCGATAGGCATTGCTGAAGATATTCCCATAATAATTTCAAATACACCCAGCAAAGCACAACATGATGTACCTGTATAAAACTCTTTAGAGCAGCATTCTTCACTTTTGGAACTGAACTTTCAACAAATGGGAACTACTCAAATTAAAACGACACCGACACATAAAATTGAATCGGATTCTACAGGCGAACCAAATTCGAATTCAGAAAAAGAGTTGTCGCCTTTACAACAAAATGTTTTAGATGAATCTATTCCGACTCCATTCAAACAAACTTTATTTTGGCCTACACCTAAGGAAAATATTGCTAAGCACAAACTAATGAATAAAGTACCTGCTGTAGCAACTTCATCTCAGTGGCAACAATACTATCAAAAAAAAAAGAAGAAAAGAAAAAACAAGAAGAACAACTGAAAATAGAAAGAAAGAACAAACGTGACCAAAATAAAGAATTGGAAAACAAAAAGAAGAAATTGAAAATTACTGCTGCACAAAACGTGTCTAAAAGGAGAATTTCTAATCGCAGGGCGACAACTAAATTAAAGAATGTTACTAAAAAATTATTTTCCACAAATGCAGGCAATGGACCTGTAACT